TAGAAGGCACACTGAGACCTCCAAAAGCATAATGTACTGTACTACATTATATTTTATGGATTGTCTTTCACTCTTATCATATTATTTTTTTAAAAAAAGATTAATTTGTATTATATTTTATTATCCCCTTGAAATCTTACATTTAGAGTCTTGTAGATTAATTTAATGTGCTTCTCATATCAGAGGAGAAATGAAACTTTAGTACATTGTGAATTGTCTGTTTTCAGACCAGCACTTTTCAAAAAAGTAACTCTCCCATTCATATGGGGAAAGCCATGTTACAGAAATCCTGATATGAATGAGCACATCAGTCAGAACGTGCAGAAGCACGCGTGGAAGCAGCAATTCCACAGCTGTAGAATTAAAAACCATTCTTTTTCTCTGTTTAGTCAGTAAAGCACTCTGAAAACCGGCTTTTCTTTGTGTGATGTATACACACAATGTTTGAGGACTTTAAACCTAATCCCTGCTGCAGGGAGTTATTTTCAGAGTGCCCTTTTCTGGTTTTTTACCATATTCATCAGTCACAGAAATTGCTGTTACATTTCCAGTTACCTTTGTTACTGCATGAGTTAGATAATCATAAAGCATTGACAGGTACCTACCAACTACCAGGGTGTCGCTGGGAATATCTTCAATTATGCATTTCTCTTCTCTTTCTCCCATGTGAAAATACAAAGCGAGTGAAAAAGAAATCCAAAAGTTCATAAGAAATCCTATTAATTTACTTTTCATGTTTTTTATATATCCCTGCTGTACTTCTTTTGAAGATAGTTACATCCAAGTGCCTGTAGTCTTGTGGTTGTTCCTGGTTTGCTGCTTATCAGAGTATTTTTGAGAGAGAAAAAAACCTGTGAGAAAAGGCAGCTGCTGGTTACACATTTACAAATAACTACAGCATGTTCTGGAGAATGAGATAACATGGAAAAGACACCTTTAAAATTCTTTCTTCTTTCCCAGCATCTAGATTAAAATTTATTTTATACACTTAGAAGAGCATGAAACTGAAAGGGCCTCTCCAGTGCTTGAGATCAGTTCCCTAGATTACTGTAGGCAACTACATTGACTACCTCTTTCCATAAACTGCTATATTTTCAACTTGAGTTATTATTTCCCATCAATTCTGGGTGATTATTCCAGAGCTTCACCCCTCCTTTATTAAGCAAACTTTTAATTTCCATCCTAAATCATTGTACAAATGTAGGCATCTGCTTAAAACCTACAGGCACTACATAAGAGAACTCTAAAGAAGTCGAAAGAACTTGAATAAGTTCTTGAATAATAATCAAATAATCCATTAAATAATCAAATAAGATTAGTGAATATGATATTGCAGAAAAAAATAACAACATTAACAGTTTCAGAACAAGATTTTTAGTATACAAATGGCTATTTCTTAGATACTTTCTAGTACCTTCTCTGAAGAAAGTTACAGTATAACTCAAACAATGATTGAGGTTCTTATTTTTATTCTTTGTACTAATATAGACAAATGTGTATGTCTGATGACAAACTCATTTATCACTTAAGTGTTCCTTGTCCTATAAGTGTAGATCACTCTGTCTGAAATCTGGGCCTGAATGGCATTTCCAGCAGGTAGGACCCACCAGTGGGATCATTTCCAGCTGGGAGGACCCATCTTTCCTCATAATATTTATGTTATCCCAATTGCACAAGAGCACATATTTTTCTTGTGTCCAAGAAGAGGGGGGCACAGCCCTTCATCTTCAATATCTGTAACCTAAATAAAAATTTTGGAGTAAACTCCTACTGGATTATTTCACATTTGCAAAAGGAGGACTGATTCATGTTTATTACCCTTCACTGCACCTGCCATCTATGAAGTTGTCTCAGTGAAGGAATGTCTGTGTAACACTGGCACAGGCTTAGGACCATCCTGGGTCCACTCCATTTCACAGCATGGAGTATCTTCATGGAAGTTGTAGCACAAGTATTAGTTCAGCTCCAAAAATCACCCATCAGCATCCCCATATTGAAAGGTTGTCAGATGAAGAGAACTGATTCCTTACACATTACTGCTTTGACTCCATATGGATAGAGGGATAAAAATTGCATCTCATGGCTGTTGAATCCTTAGGAGTGTCAAGGGGGGTGTTCGGACTCCTTTACTACTTCAGCACTTATCAATCAGAAATAATTTTAGATTATACAAGATACCATGATAATATTGGACTTTTGCCCCTCTACCACAGGAGATGTTGACTGTCATGCACCTGCATGAATTCCCATGCCACACTCATACCTGTAGGAAATCGAGGTTTGTCTGCAGGTTGTGAGCTACTTGACCTGTTATCTTTTTAGCTTTTTCTTGGGTTCTTGTGGCTTCCAAAGTTCTGAGTTCCAATGGTAGAACACAGGATATACAAAGAGACACCACTTTATCCTTCACTCTGCCCAGACCCATTGGAAGAGACACATTTCTTCTGTGCTTTTGGCTAGCAAATGCTGGATAGTAGGGCTGATGGACTTCAAGCAAACAAAAATAATTCAGTCTCCAAGTAATCAGGTTGTTGTGCAGCATACTGAGAGCTTTCTTTTGTCTCAGTCATTCAGAGTTCTGTAAATTGTCACGGACACAACTTCTGCATACTGCAAAAATCCCATTGAACAACATCTGGCTGATACCAGAATCGCTGTATTGAGTGTTAGATTTATTTCTTGGGAGTGTTAAATATTGTCATAGAATAGTCTGAGTTCCTTTATTATGTTGGATCATTCATGACAGATCAGTTATTCCCAATGTACTTCAATTTCCTGGGACCGGGAATATAATGAAATGAAGCTTTTTGCCTTAAATAGCATCAGATAGTCTCAGATCTTTAGTTTGCACACTTATTCCATTATAGGAATTTAATTTCGTGTGGATTATTTTTTTAGGACCACAGTTTAATTCTGTGGTGATTTTTTTGTTACTACACTTTGCCATTAACCACACCTTTCATTCTGCAGAACATCTGCCAAGGCATCAGAGCTGATCTAAGCTATTCTTGAAAAGAATTGTCTTTACAAATCCATTTCAAGCTTCTTTCCAAAGTGCTTTCTGAGATTAGCTTAACCCAGGAATTAATTTGCCTATTTCCTTCCCTAAATCTCTTGTATTTAGGACCTCAGCATTTTGGCTGCCAACCATCTGTAACATGAGGAACAAGGAAAAGGAAGGGAGAGCTTCTCTGTGTTTCTTCCTGGTCCCAAAATCTTTAAGGGAATTCCAAGGCTGCTGAAGTTACAAAGTCCTAATAATATCTGTGCAGGGATAATGTTCCTCACGAATCAGTTTAATAGATAAATACTATCAGAAATGTGCTCCATCACTAGAATGCATTTCATTCACTGTATCCACAGCCTTGCCTAGGAATGGCTCCATCCCTGTGGTGTCAAAGGGAATACCTGGAATTGTATTTATGGCCAAGCAATGCACAGGGGCATCCTTAAAGAATATATTTACCAAGGTCTCCTGAATTTACTGCTTACAAAAATCCCCATCTCCAGGTAACTGGCTGCATAGGAGACTTCTGTCCTTGAAGGAAGATGCAGTGAATATTCATGTATGTAACCACCCTAAAATAGTAAAGTTATGTATCACTGACTGGAGTTTTCTGAGGTGTGCTGGGTACATATTCTCTTTCTACTCCTTGTCCTTATCTCATCCTTTCTCCTTCAGTGTCCTTTGGAAAACTTTTGTATCCAGGAGTTTGAGCAAACACTGGGACTCCTCCACTCAAATTAAATCTTGTAGGAGTGAAATCCCAGTTTCAGGTCATGTATGTTAATGCAAATGCAGGTATTCTTTTACTGGGTCTGGGCCTTAATTTATTCTGGGCATGGGAAGAAGGAAAACTGTAGTGTTTAGAGAATTTCCAGGAAAGTACCTCAAAGGATATCTTGTAGGTTTTGAGTTTGTTTTTCCTAAGGCATAATTTAGACTTGCATCTGATATCTGCCCAAAAGCTTTATTGAGCTTAATTTTTCTCTTGATAACCAATTTGAAATAAACTCCTACCCTCTGAGAATATTTAAATATATACTACAATATATGCTTATGTTTTCTGATATGATGATAAGTGCGTAAAGGTAGTAAATAAGTGTAACAGAAAACATAGAATGGTTAAAACTAATAAAAAGAAGAAAGAAAAATAGTAACAATTAACTAAACACAGAATAGTGTAGTAACACTACTCCCATTATAGAGTGGAAATAGAGGGAACTTAAAAAAATAGTAAGTGTGCAATTTTGTGATTGAGCAACTTGTATAAGTGAACTATTTTGAACAAACTGTGGGAATGTGAAGAATGAGAGAAGAGCAGAAATTCCTATATTTAGTTCTAACAATTATGTATTTATCAGCATTTGCAGGACCAGTGAAGTTTAGTCTGATAAAGTTTCAAATTTATTTGTGTCTTTACAAGATATCTCTCCTGGAAAAAGAAATACAGAGAAATGTTTAAATGTTTCACCTCTGTGGAGAATACAGTGTGCTCATTTAAGGACAAGAGAAATTGTCTTGTATTTGGCATATTCTGGAAAACAACAAATCGACTCTCCTGTTCAGTACCTGTACTGTATATTTGTAAAATTGCAGTGTGCTGTAAAAGTTTTTGAGCTGACTTTAAACTTACTCTATTGAATTAGTATTATTCCAAAATTCTTTTCCTAGTTGGTAGCCACAGCTCTTCATAAGACATGTGTTATATTAATTTTATAAGTTATTTGAGCATTAGAACTTGCAGACAGGAACAGTTTCTGACATGTGTTTTGTTAGAGTTGTGCATACCTTAATTTTAGGTAATATATACACAAATAGCAGCAAACACATATAAAGAAACATGGACACATTTACTGCATATATGAAGTTATTGATATAATTTATGTTATGGTCAACAGTGTTAACTTTGAAATTTAAAGTTATCTAATGAGGAACACAGACCAACAATCAGCTTTTGAATCTCAGCTAACACTTTTAATTCAGCTCAGATGTTTTCTACTACTATCCACACTTCAGATGTTTTTCTAGTAATTTTGTTGGCTGTGTCCTCATGGCAGTTGTCTTCTCACTTTTGAGAAAGAAAAATAAAAAGACATTTTCATATAGTCAAAAGTCTCAAGACAAGTTTACTCAGTTCCATTATTGTCTTAACCACACTGCAAACATCTGGTCACTCTGACTTTTGTAAGTAGTTTCTGAGGAAATGCACATTAAGCAAGGTTAGAAAGATGACAAAAATGCCAATAAATTATAAAAACATAATTTAGAAGGAAAAACTATTTTCTAGGTATAAATAGGTGTAGATAAACAAATTACAATATTTAAGGAGGTTATTAGCTTAGACTTTGCGATTGAAAGATTTTTTCTGTGAAGTAAAAATGTGAAGTACGATCTTCCCAAATGTCTTCTTTTCTGCCACTAGAGGGTACTCCAAGAACTTACAGTGTATTTGGAGGAAGGATTTATTTGGGGGTTTTGTTCTTTAAATTATCCAGTACTGTTGTCCTACTAAACCTTAGGAATTTAACCCCCCAAAATTTTGATATTAAATAAAAACTTTCAAACCCACTCTAATGCAGCTTTTCAGCAAAATAGTGCAGCGTATCCAAATGATAAAGAACATTGACTGACATGTAGTTCAGATTTAAACTTATCCTACTTTTAAATTATCTTAATTATTATATTTTCTTTATTTCAGACACAATTTTCTGGTTCACATCCTGTTTCTTCATCCAGGTCTGGACAAGGCATTCCATTGTTGGCAGGCTGAAGAAGAACAAAGCGAGTTCTGATCTTGGTGCCTGTTTCCCTGCAGACCCCTCTGCAGAGCCCCCAGGAGGACCATTGCGAAACCTCACAGTCCAGGGGTGTTTCTGCAACACACACAGCAAAGAGGGAGCTTCACATCGAGTTGTGCTTAAGGCAGATACACAGTTGGGAAAGCATTAAGGAATGATCATCAAACAGCATCCTTTCTTATACAAAACACATGTGATATCCATCAAACCAGTGTGTGGTCTCATAAATTAGAAAAAAACCAATCTGGTTTCAGCTCCTAAACTCATTGGTGTTATTGTTATTTCAGTCTAGAGCCTGTCTGAGGTATTACATCAGTTCTGAAGCATATTATATCTTGAATGAAAAACAGAATTCCTTAAAAGAAAACTATGCTTAATATGATTTTACTCAAAAGATTGAATTAGAAAATATTAACTGTCAATTTTTATAACTCATTTTCCTTTTCATGACTAACTAAAACACTGAGATTAAAGCTTTTCTCTGGTTTACTTAGGTATATTTATATTTCTTTGCAGGCAGCTATTGTTACTAGAGTTGTTCGTATCGAAATCCATTTTACTTTTGTTCCAATTTGCTTTGGAAATAAAGTCCCATTTTTTATCATCTTGCTATTTTTTGGTCTGTACACTACTCTTCCCTTTGCCAATAAGGATATTCTATCACTAGAAGCTTTCTAATGATGAAAGGATTTCAATGTAATTTTCATTAAGTGCAAGAAAAGAAGTTAGAAACTCTGAAGTGCTATCCATAATGTAATGTATGCTTCTACCTAAGTAAAAATCATCAAAAGTGGGTGAATATTCCTTAGCAGGTTAAATTAAAATACTGCTTGTCACAGGAAGTGGCATCAAAGCTGCCTGTGCCAGCATTTGTGGGCAAAAGACGTGTGCACAAGCCCATCCTTCAATGCCACACTAAACATGTAACACCTGCGATAAATTTCTGGTGTTCCAGTGAACTCACCACTTCTGCTGTCATCACTCATTCCTAGGTTTCCTGAGGGAATGAGGGACACTGCTTGACCTCTGGTAATTAAATCTGCCCCTTTGATTCCAGAATAAGTTTTTAAGTTGGTTTAATATACTGGTTCATACACAAGAAAGTGGGGATTTGTGATTAAAAATTATATTTGGAATACTATACTTTAAAGGCAGTTTTGAATTTATATCATGAACAGGGCCAAATTTTGCTTTCAAATCTTATGGGAAGGATATATACTGTAAATTAGATGTGTAACACCCACTTTGCTATGTATTGTTTATTAATAGAATTACATTAAACCGCTATAAATTGATAAATACATTTATTAAATTATAAATTACACATTAACTGAGCAGGGAATGAGCTGTATTGTAGTGGTTGTAAGGTGACCAGCTTTGCTAGAGACATGCCATCTCCAGACAATCTGGAGAAGTTTCTGGAACATGGCAACTCTTTTGGGAATACATTGGTCCCTTGGAGCAAATATTGTGTTAACAATATATGTATTTTAATTCAGAGGTTTGAAAATCACCCTTATGATTGACTTGAGTGAGCAGTTTGCACTTCTTCCTATCTATTCAAGTTTATTAGCTAATATTTTTGAGAAAATGAAAATGAGAGAGAACTTCATTTTTGTTATCAGGATTTACGTTTCTATTGAAAATATGTCCAAATCAATCGAATTATGTAAATTTTATTGCACATAGCTGCCAAGCTCTGACCCAGAAAGAGACAGCAATAATGGTTCTTGGCTTCATTGTCATGTAAAAGCTTAAGGATGAGTATTTACTTCAAAGTTGCAAAGACTTTGGGAATGCTGATTCTGACTGAGTGTCATTTGTTTCTTATAAAATTCACTGAGCTACACTGATACAAAGGCTTGGGTAGCTCTTACCCTGGATATGGCCCAGTCCTTTGAACCACAGCTGAAATATGCAATCCCTTACTTATTCTTTCAGGAATTCCCTTTCATGTCAACTGGCTTGTTTTATTTCCCATTTGTGAGTCTGGAACTATTCCTGTGCAGATAGGAGAATATTCTGCCTGATCACCTGTTTCATCCACATCACCTGCCAGATTTCCACATACCTCTGAGTGAATGGAAATAACAGAATTGAGAACACCTACTAATCACTTACCTGAGACAGTGTCTATTATTTCATTGCTTTTAGCTGGAAGATTAATAAAAGGTGCAGAAAGACCTAGCTGGGTTTTCTTTATTTTCACCATTGTTACTTGAGCAATTGGTGGCAAAATTTTGAGTTTGGGATAATAAAATGAGTTTGCTGGGTGACTTGGAGAGGAACAAGTGATCTGTGAAAAAAAAAAGGGGGGAATATTCAAAAAAAACTAAGAAGATAATTGTAAAATCATGTTTGTAAATCATGCTAGTACTTTTTAGCAAATAATTTGCATACAACCAGTTTCTATGAACACATAGTTCACATAACTGTCCTGGTCAGCCCAGAATTTTTAATACAGGGTACTTGACTGGATACAGAACTGTGGTAGGAGGTCCTGCAAACACAGTAATGTATGAAAAGATTTGACAGAAGGAGCTGGATGTTATTACAAGAAGAATACATGAGTATTAAACAATAATATTAGGTATGCTGTAAGAGCTGCCATATGGGTATTAGAGGCCAAATGCTTCTCTCTTCCTTTCCTCATCAGCACAGCATTTGATGCTACAGAAACTCACCTTTAAGAAAGGATTAGGTGAATACTTGTAGTATTCAAAGCATTTGAATCAAAATCCTTCGTTTACCACCTCTCTTAAATGGCAAAAGCAAAGTATGGGGCATAGAGAGGATGAAATGAGCAAAAGAGATTGAAAGCAATGTCACCACAGTGAAGTTCTCTGCTTTCCTTTAGGTCCTTTCCCTCAAATGTTGCAGTTTCAGGTTTCAGCAGTGCTTTCAACTGAAAACTCCTCCTCACAGCAGTATTCACTACTAAGAATTTTCCTGGTTAGATTCACATTTGGTGATGTCAGGACTTTTGTATTTTCATTTTCCTGGCACTTAAGGATTGTTAAATATCATCTACAAAAATTGTCAGCTTTTCCAGAAAACGTAGAGACAAATTCTCATGAACCATTTACATTTGCCTAATAAATTTCAAAGACACAGAAGATTAAAAAATCAGTAGGTTTATCAGCTGTGTAATAAATCCATATATGGAGAGCATCAGCCTTCTCAAATACTGCAATCAGTTTCACTATTTTAGACGAGTTATCTTTTAAAGGGAAGACTCAAAACATATCAGTATGAAGTGCTAAACTATGCCCATGCACCTACCTCTGTAACTGTGTCCTGTGGAATGGTGGCAAAGTTTGGGGAGGAAAATGTGAATCCACTGTCAGTTCCAGCATCATATGGAAATAGATCCACTGATACTTCATCCACCCAGTGGTCTCCCTCACAGAGATTTAGGCTGTCAACGCCCACGAACCAGTCAGGGCTGGGAACGATTCGTACAACGAACGAAACCTAATGAAACAAAATGATCCATCGGGATTGCATCACTTGCTTTGGAATGCTGCAGTCCCGCTTTTAGTGATTTTCACTCAAAGTTTTTGAAATAATGTCATTTTGCTCTTCTACTTCATGGTAGCTGTACAGTGCTCCCTGCAATGTGACATGCTTTTTAGTAATTCTTTTTCATGATGTTGTTTCTACAAGTGAGAACTCAAATATTTAATTTTGGTTGCTGGTAACATAAAATAAACTTTGAAATGAGTATGTACATTTACTTACTAAGGGATGTCTTGGATGTGCTTCTAATTCGGTTGAGGTTTGTCCTGTACCACTGGAAATTGCAGGAGCAGAGAAGATTCCGTGCACACTCTGAATTTTCTCTCCAGCTTCTTCTATTTCTTTCATTAGTGCCCATGCTTCACCCTTTTCAGCAAAATCACGTACACCATTGCTGGCATATTCATTTTTTTTCCACATGCTGTAGTCAGAACTATGAGTAACACCTATTTGAGTGAATACATGGCATGACATAAAAGTCTGATTTAGAGTGTCCCTATTTCTTCATTTTCTCTGTTTTATTTCTGAGGTTAAAAAAAAAAGTGTATAAAATTGAGTGAGCACTAAAACATTTGGCTTATCACTGCTTCTTTCAGCTGCAGCCAATTGAAAACAGAAGTCAATTGAAAACAGTTGGAGATTTTTGAGAACATTGTGGATACTTCAATATCTGCATTTCATCCTCAATAACTTTGGCTTTTTTTTTTCCTTTTTTCATTACTTATCTTACATAACCATTAAGGAAAAAAGAGACCACAGAGGTCAAGAGGTTTATCTGCTCTCAGTGCTGTGCATATTCACTTACCCAGCAAGGATGACCACTGAGCTGGGGGCCTGTAGAGCGGGTACTGCTTGGGGAAGGCAGTCTGGCTCCATTTCCCTGTGAAGATTATCCTGTACTTAGCAAGCTCCTCTGCTGTGCAGAGAGCATCCTCCCCCACGGGCAGGCTGCTGCCACAACCCAGCGCTGCCACAAGAACTGTCCACATAACTTTACAGGACCAGTAGACAAACGTCAGGTTTTCCATTGCCTTCCACACGAAAAGAAAGAAAAAAAAAGTATCAGTCATATTAGTCACTCCAAACTCAAAAATTAATAGCAGTTACCTAATAAAATGTAATGTGACATGAGCTATAGCCAAAGAGAAGGCAGATATCTGGAACACTAAAAATTGCTGTACTTCTGAAAACATTACTATAATGCTTTCAGATTTGTTATTTCCATGGTATATACTACAAACCTGTAATTTTACCTGGGACAAGTGTTTCTAATAAAAATGAAAATAAAAATGTCTTATCCTTGTCCATAGTACTACCTCAGAGAAAAATCTGTTTCTGATTTTCTTTTGAAATCTGATTAGAGTCACATCTTGATTTAATTAGAGTAGCAACTGTTTCTGTGGAAAACATTAGTGGTATATTTATTCTTCTAAAGATTAAATTGCAGGTTACTTTGCCAAAAGAAATTATTTATTTTAAATTTGTGTTCTACAAAGGCTGTTTTATAGCGTAACATTTAAAGTCAAATGGATTTCATATTTATATAAATTACTTTGCTGTCATAATGTGAATTCAAAGCATTGTAATTCCTTTAGGTTGTTTAAACTACAGAGTTTAAAAAATCAGTATTTTTTTTACAGTTACTGTCATAGGTTGTGCAAATTTTGTTTTTAAATTAACATGCTAATTGCATCAGACTGTTGAACTCCACCAATTGTTTAAAATAACAGCCTTAAAACTGATTTTTAAACGTATTTGTCCTTTGAGAAAACTATACAATCTTAAGTAAATCACTAATAATACATTAGTTTGTAAAAATATCTATGAATACTCACTAAATATTCCTCTGGAGCACTGGCAGGGGGAGAGCACCTGCTTTTGCTGGCAGCTGAGTTGGTCTGCAAGAGAAGACAGTAGGAGTCTTGCTATTTATGCCTGGAGAGGGTCCCTTTGGTCCAACAATTATTGCAATCTTTAGACTTTCCAGGTTTGCAGAAATCGTGCCATCTTCTTGTTTGCAGTCCCTCTGGATGGACTGGCAGAGGTTTCCTGTCTGTCAGCTGCTTCAGATTCCTTATCAGAAGACGGAGATGCCGAAAAGACAAAATGCTTTTTAAAAATACCTTGGATTCTTAGTAACAGTTTGAGTTTTCTGGTGCCTTTGCAGTTCTTTGCTCTTATTAATGCCTCCAAGCTATACAAATGAACCGATTCCAGCACTGAAATAGTTCTAGTGAATACTCTTTAAATGAGAAACATGTTTTCTTGTAAGTTTTATTGTCTGACAGATGCTCCTTCCAAACATTTACAGAGAGCTTGCTCACTCTCACACACCATATGTATGTGTTCAAATAAAAGGGGTGAGGCAGCTAAAAATGTCAAGAGGGAAAAAAAGTTACATTTCATAATTGCACATACTCACACAGGCTGTGTCTCCTGCAAATATGAATTAATTTAAAGTAGTACAGTGTATATTTTTGTGTGTACAGTACTGTGTGCTGGATGATGAAAGGGCTCTGTAACGTGGTTTCTTTGGAAAGAGTGGTTTCGGGAAGCTCAGAGATTTTTCTTAGCTGTCTTCAGAGTAAAAATCCTCAAATAAAAATCTCATTATTACAGTTAGATCATACATCCTCTATAGTACAGTACATACACCTACATCATTAAAAACTTTTAAATTGTTTATGAAAAATAAGCATTATAGAGTGACCCAATTAAAAAATAATGTTTAACCTTTATTTATTTTCCCAACTGCTTTTCAAATAAGGCAAAACAGAGGGCTTTGTGCCAAACCTGTAATGTTAACAAATGCTATTGTGGCTAATCAGCAATTGAAAAATTTACAGTGAACCATGAAAATAATATTTCATAGAGTTTTCTTTAGAAATTGTGAGGAATGCCACTTAAGTACTTCCCCAGATCTCTAACATGACGGTGCAGCATGTGGGAAAGGACCCAAACAAACCCAGTTATTTTCCAGATGCAGCTCCCAGGGCAGCACGGGTTAAGCACACAGCACCCAGCCCCAGTGACACGCTCCTGTCACCAAACAGCGTGCCTGAGCTTTGTGGCACTTCAGCTGGAAACTTCCCTCCCACCCCGAGGTGGATCCCAGCCAGGAGGTGAATAAACTGGGATGTCTGCGTGGAATTTCTATCAATTATTCTGCTGACAGCATGGAATCTACTGCAAGTCTCAGCAGAGATGGCTGCAGCACCTATAGCCACAACTCTGCTGTGTCTGGGTGGACGTGGGAATCCTGAGGCAGGTTAAGGCATCCAGGCAGGGACATGCCCTTTATTTCCAAGGTCTCTTCCTCCATCCTTTGTTAATGGTATCTTTTCCATACCTGATTTCTCTTCCAGGAGCCAGACTCCACTAAGAAAAAGAGCTGAGAGCCTTCATGAATACTTTTATACGTGTTCTTTGAGTATTTGTTGAAGAATGATACTTGAACTACGTCCAGCTCGCTCCCTCCTACGCACAGAATTCCAGATCCACAGGTTTCTTAGAGATTTTAATTTAATGACATCCAGCCCCTGCAGCCTGCTAGAACTACACAAATTTCCCACAAATTTGAAAGTGTATTGCTAAGTGTATTGTTAAAACTACTCAAAGCTTGCTATTTATTATTAAATAGCCTTAAACTTCAGTAAGTTTTGTTTTCTGTCATCACAATTACTGAGCCAGTGAACTTCACATACTGAAACCTGCTGTGGCACTGCCAGGACAACACAAAATGAGAACAAAGCAACTAGCTCTGGGCCTGGCACAGAAATATTTAATTTATCAGAATAGCCTCATCCTTCCAAAGATAAATTGCTGGCAAAAGGCACATCACAGACTAGATTATTCTGGTCCCATGGCTACGTGTTGTGAATGCACCCAGGAGTGGGACAATACATGCAGGCTGCAGAACTTGGCACTGGACCTTTCCCTGTTTACAGTGAGGGCTTTACTAGGACGGATTTCTCATGATTAAGTTCTTCAGGACCTAGAGCCTCATTCTTATCCTTGTTGAATTCATAATGAAATCACTGGGGAAAATACTGTTAATTTATTTAATTATCTTGTCTCCCTACCCTCCACCCCCTACGGCTGAGTGGAGAGAAAAAAAAAAGAAGAAAAAAACATGCAGAGTAATGTTGTCAGAAAATCCTAACTTGAAGACTCACTGTCCTATTTTTTAAAATGGAAACTGTGCTAAGCATAATCAGTCTCTGACATTGTGAAGGACATCAAAACACCAAATGTGTCTCATAGATGGGAAGGAAAACAAAGAACAGGAAAAAAAGAAAATTTCCACTCAATGGATTACTTTCATGGCTGGGAACCACAGATGAAAAATTTCTGTGGGCCAGCAGTAGGAGAAAAAAATGCTGTGGGATCATAACCTATGCTTGCATTCCTTCTTCAGTTTTTATGTCCCATTAGGAATATGCTGAGAACTCATGGAATACTGGAAAAAGAGTTTCCCTTTAGAAAAAAAAATGCCTGTATTATAAATGTGTTTTTTCTTTTTCAACAAAACATCTATTTTTCTTCAAGTTTGTGTCTCTTCTGGTACACCTATTTTCTATTCACATATGTACCTCTACAGACCCTGAATGCTGGAGGGATTAGTCATACAAAACCTGTTTTATTTAAGCATCAGTGCCAAAGTGTGCCTTGGGTTAAACTTTGCTTACAGAAGTGTGCAACTTCTGCTGTTTCTTGTCAATATGACAACAGTTTTACAGTTCCTGCAGTCTTTATCCAGATTCAGAGGATGACAGCTGGAAAGTGTAAAACAAAAATGGTGTTCAGATACTTTTGGTTTTTAAATGTCAGTCATTACGTTGTCTGAAATAGTAATTTTGTATTCTTTCTAACCAAAAATGATTAAAGAAATGAGAAACAAACAAACAAACAAACAAAAACTACTTAAAAATACAGCAGTATCATCAATTTCGTGTTGGCTCTGGAATCATTTACACTGTACTGAAACATTTAAAAGAGCAAGTTCAGGCTATCACACAGGAATATAGCACATTAAAAGAATGTAAATTCCATTTTGATTAGTCAGGGAATAATTTAGCCCCTTTTCTGGCAAGTAACCAGATTGCCATGATTAGTTATGACTTTTCTATTAAACTGTGAGATTAAGAGAAAGGAAAATTTACCAAAATGATTAATCTGAAGTTAGTTTGCCCAGATTTACTCATAACAGAAGCTCCAAAATTTTTGTGTTTATATTCCTGAGGTATCAACACACATTTCAGTTTTGCTAAAACAATTTCCATTCTGCTGATAAGGAATATATGTGCAACTTTGATATTCACAGGCTGCTTAACATGCTCATGACTGGCTAGAATCTCTTTGTCTACCAAGAAAAACATAACATTGTATTATTTAAGAAGGATTATACAGATATACTTTCTCTCCTGTGGTTACCATGGAGACACGTATAATTATGGACACTCCGCAATGCCAAAGGTTTGCATTCAGTCAAAACCCTCTGAGCTCTAAGTTGTAAAACCTCAGGACCAGAGTGGCCAGCAGCAGAATGTTTTATGATGGAGAAATTGTGCTGTTGGTTTGGGAGTTTTTACAAAAGGAAGCATTTACATAGGAGCTGTAAATGCAAAGGTTTAAGAGAACTGAAAACTGGCTATGGAGAATAGGGCAAAACTACAGCAGCATAATTAAAATAATAAAAATTAATTCTCATTTTGTGAAAATTATGGATTGTATTTTCCAACAAATTCAATCCTATTATCTTTCAATTCATTTCTAAAGTGAAATGAGCTTGTGCCATTAACATTTGCACTTCTTGTTTGCTGTTGAATTTCCACTGGAAAAAGATTTAAACCCTAAAAAGCTACTTTTCAAGGTGTTGACCTTCTAAGACGAATTTGATGCTTTCTTTGACTTGTAGATATGTCAGTCCTTTATCTCTGTGGCAATATTGTAGAAGGCCACCGAATTATATTTCTAAAGTAGCCACCATCAATGCCACTCTTTGCTTATACTATGTCCTGCTTCACAGTCAGTTTTGTTGATTTATCTTGTATTTTTTTCAAAGATCTTAAATCTACTGAATGATAGCTGTGGAGTTATTAGAGTTACATCTTTAATTCATATGGAAAATGGGGTACTGAATAAAATGAATTGGTCTTTTCTGGGAACTCATCCATACATCACAGTTTGCAACCAGGTCTAGATCAGTAAGAGATCATTAATTGCCACCACAGCACAGTTTCTTTTTCCCACCCCAAGGCTTGTGAGGAGGCAGTGCAGAATAAGGGTTGCACTGGAATGAGGAGTTGTATCCACTGTCAGAGTGGCACCACATTTTTGGGACTGAGGTGTCATTATTTACCTTCTGCCATGGAAATTGTATAGTATTACAGCGACCTGATGAAGGTCTCCAGGGTGAGAGAAGGATGAGAATCTTGTTTGATGATCAGAAGGCTGGATTTATTGATATATGATATATAATACATTATAACTATACTAAAAAGAATAAAGAGAGAAGTTGCAGAGGCTGCTAAGCTAAGAATAGAATAGAAAAGAATCTCAAAACAAGAGAGTTCTCTGTCCCTGTGTTCCAGAGAGCTTGCCCTGTGATTGGCCCTTAATTGTACACATGGACCATGAACCAATCACAGGTGCATCCTATTGCATTTCACAGCAGCTGATAATCATTGTTTACATTCTCTTTCTGGGGCCTCAGCTTCCCAGAAGATGCAGAATCCCAAAGAAAGAGTTTCTGTGAAAAAATGTCTGCGACAGTATAGGAAAACCAGTAAAACCTTCTGCTTATGTGTATAATTCTGTCATCATTCCTTAGCTTGGTTCTAAATAGGATCTAATCAC